TTTATAGCATTTCCTTTAATTTAAGTTTGGTTTTCTCAAGTAGTAACTAGTTTGACTAGAAAATCAAAATTGGCAACAGATCTAACAGAACTTCTTGCAGTTTTAAAAATTATATCTCATAATAATGATCATAAACGTGTATTAGAAAAGAAGAGAATAAATCAAGTTAATCCTATAGAAAAACTCAAACAAGATTTAAATATTTAGAATCTTGCTATTATAGACAATATAGATTTTAAACAGAAAACTTTTACTTACAGCAATATTTTTGACATAATACAAGAAACATCATATACAACACTTCAGATAGCTTTTCAAACTGAATTACCTAATCTAATTAATGAAATAAAAAATGACAAAAATAAATTAGTAACAAATAAAGTTTTTGGAATAAATGATGAAGTACACTAAATTTTGGATTGTTTTGATAAAATATTTGATGAATGCTTAGCTCTTTATTATTCAAATGATGAACTTCAATATATGATAGATTTTGATGCATCTACAATACATGATAAAATTTTGGAAAAATTAGCTCATAGATGTTTTGGTCACTCTTTGCATGTGGTAATTTTGGAAGCTGATGGAATTCAAATAATAATGAAGGGATCTATCAATCAGCAAAAATGTATAAAAGTGATTTTTCTTTAGATTTTGATAATTATTTGGATATTGTTGCTGATAAATCTATTTATCAACGTTTAATAAATTTGTGACAAGAATGGCCAAATCTACATCTAATACTTAAATAGTGGTATACAAATAAAGATATGGCATTAGCTTTTATTACAATATTTTTAAGTTATGAAATCTTTGATTTATGTGTTTCAATAGGTGTCAAATTCTTAGATAAATTTGAAAATGTAATAGATTATTGATTTACAGTGAAAATTATAGAGCTTATATAGGTTGCAGTAGATATTGCATTACAAATTTATTTAAAATCAAAAAATTTGCATAATAATAATATATTGGATGAAAATTTTGAAGAATATTAAGTACTTAAAATTTGGTATTTGTTTTATCATTAGGCTGGACTTTTTTTTGCGCATAAAGCTAGATTTGAATTGAAAATTTTAATATTCAGAGGTATACTTTATCAGCATTTACTCCTCTTATTCCATCAGCTAGAAAATCAAATTATGCACAATCAATAGCATACTTTATTGGAATTCTTGAAAGATATCCAAAATTAGAAAAAAAACTACAATTGGTATCATTTTTTAAGATTTCAGAAGAAAAATAAGATCATTTTCTTGTATTTGATGAGGCATTAGAGATCTTTAGTATAAAATTTGTCAAACAAACATAACTAAAAATATTATAGATTCTGAAAATCTTAAGCTTCAGGTGAAAGCTGCACAAACGGAATATGAACAAATTGAAGTATTACTTAATAAATATTTAAATAATATCACAATATCTAATAACAATTGATTTGTAGATGCACAAAAAGATTCTACATGGAATCTTGTAAATAAACTATTAGAAGCTTTTAACATATGTATAATAATTTCTTTTTTTATATAATTTATATTTTAATAATCATTATTTTTTAAATAATATTTATTTTAATTATTAAAGTACGTCATTATGATATGTTTAATCAAGTTAATGATCTTTTTCATACAACTTATTTTAAAGAGATACATGCAGAAGGAATAAAACAATTAAAAAAATATTATGAACGAGGTTTGCATCATATAAAACTAATATATAATCAGAAAGTATTAAAAACAGAAACAATTAATACTGTTGGATGGAGGGCAAAAGAAATAGTGGTAACAAAATATAAAGATATCCAGATAGAAAAAAGGAACAAAAGGAAAGGGCAGTTAAAGATACTAATAGTATTGAAATATTGAACCCATAACAAGAATCTTTATTAACTGATAAAGTAAAGCATTTTCTAAGAAACGAATACGTTGAATGCCATCAAAAGAAGCAATTCAAATTCTTTTGTCAATGGTCAAATGTCTTAACCCACCTACAGATGAAAAAATACAAAATTATTTGGATGTTTTAGCAGAAAATATACCATCTTCTGATGTTTGGAATAAATATCAAATTATTTAACATTATAGAAATCGGCATAAGAAAGGTATTACTAATAGGGAAGAAGAAGAATAAGATAGTAGACAATTAAATAGTAATTAATAAAACTTTTGTTTGAAAATAATGATATTTTAATTTTTTTTTTACTAATAATTAATCAGGCTGTAAAATGAAATTCTACTCATATTTCCACTTGTAATAAATAAATATTTTTGTTTTTAATTTTTTTTTGTAACTAAGGTTCGCACTACATCACTAGGTACTTGTAAAATTTTAACAATTGGTAAAAAAGAAGAATCCTTCTCAAACATACCAATTTAATACTTACTTTATAAGCTTATAATTTGTTTGTTAACAACTCAAAATACAAAAAAATACTGCTAATATTGTAATTTGAAGCTTGAAGAATAGAATTATTAAGTATTATGTTCGTTTGTAAATTATATGTTAAATGGTTAAAAAAAGAAGTTACGCGAAATAAGGTTACACAACATTTACAATTAAGGATTAGCAGTTAATGGGACATCTCGACTGACTGATAAAAGTTATAATAATTTTAATAATTTGAAATTATTCGTTAATTAACGGATGACCAATAAAAATCGTTTTTTAATTTTCAAGTTAAGATCAACTTAATTTTAAAAAAAGATAATTAAGGTAAAGAAGAATTTATAAAGAACAAATCAAAATTTTCCATAAGAATCATAACACAAACAATACGAAGTCATTAATTTGATAATAAATATTCTTTATCAAAACAATGCTTTATAAAAAAAAAAAATAATATTAGTAAATAAATAATAAGTAATATAGAATAATGAAAATCAAATTACAATGTCATCTGATAAAAAAATTATCTTTGGTAACACCATAGATTATGAAAAGATTCTCACACTATGAAATATCTTATTTACTTAAATTCAAAGTATCTGTTATACTATATGAAACATAATTAAAAAGGGATGAATGATTAACATAAAAATTTAAATTCAACCCTTCATATGCAAACACGAATTGTTTCATGTTGCACTGCTTTGCGTTCATATTATTATACGGAAATCTATCCGTAACCACTACATATTCGGACTTAATGAAGTATAGCACAGCAGATAATAAATTTTAACTCCAATGATACGATCGAACTTTCAGAACTTTGAACAGTATGAACTTTTGATTTATGATAAAAAGAAAATACGATAATTTATTTTCTTTCTTATTTAGAAGAAACTTTTACCTTTAAGTAACCTTTATTAAAAAAAAAAAAAAAGAATGCAAATCGTTCAATGACATTATTTTAAAATCACAATAATGGTAATTAGGTTTGGTTTACATTATTTACATTAAAAAAATTTAAAATTAAAGCACATTATGTATTATTTGGTGTGAAACAAACCACAAAAAAAAATTTTTTTTTTCTGATTATCGATACTTTGTTGTAAAAGGGGTTTGTCAATTTTTTTTTTTTTTTTTGAAGGATCAAAAAAATTAAGGTGCAAACATTTTTGTATAAATATGTGTGCTTCAAAGCTTGGAAAAAAAAAATCCATTCCCTTTTTACACAGCCGAAAATAAAAAAAAAAATAATTTAGGAAAAATATCTCTTTTCTTTTATAATCAATAAAAGAATTTCTCTCGAGTTCAAATATGTCACCACTTGAACCTTTTTCCAATCAATCTTTTGATTCATCAACCGAAGAAATTGTAAATGATGAAGTAACATCATTAAATTATCAAAGGAAACCTTTTACAAAAGAAGCGACGATTTTCACAAAGGACAACGTACCAACGATCCTTGAGATTAGAAAAAACATCCCTTCAAAATATTTTAATCCATCAATTAAAAGATCATTTCAATATGTAGCATGGGATCTAATAATCGTATCAATACTATTCTTGACATTCTACCAATTAAATTCAATCACATCTATCCCTTCGATTATAAAAAATTTTGTCTTGTTGCCATCATATACCTTCGCTCAAGGTACTATGTTTTGGGCCATATTTGTTTTAGGTCATGATTGTGGTCATGGTAGTTTTAGTCGATACCCTTTATTAAATGATATAGTCGGTACATTCTTACATACATTAATTCTCGTCCCTTATACTACGTGGAAACTGAGTCATCGTCATCATCATAAAAATACCGGCAATATCGATAAAGATGAAGTGTTTCATCCCGTCAGAAAAGTCGAAGCCGCTAAAATGAGCGGTAATGATGATGAAACGAAAATTATACCTTATTTTGGATTTGGCGTGGGTTGGTTGGTTTATTTGATACAAGGTTACGGACCAAGAGCCGTTTCTCACATAAACCCTTTTCATCCTTTATTTCGTAAAAATCATTTGGCAGCGACAATTTCTGTATCAACAGTTGTTATCAATTTATCATTCTTAATTTACTTGTCTAGTATTTTTGGTACCTTTTCGATTATAAAATATTATTTTCTTTCTTGGGTAGTGTTTGCTAGTTGGTTGGTAATAACAACTTTTCTTCATCATCATGGCGTTGAAGAAAATTTGAAATTACCTTGGTTCTCAAATGATCAATGGAATTACGTCGTCGGTAACCTTTCATCGGTCGACCGGGATTACGGTATTTTACATGAGGTGACCCATTCCATTGGTACTCATCAAGTTCATCATCTTTTCCCCGCAATACCTCATTATTATCTTAAAGATGCCACATCATCATTTCAACAAAAATATCCTCATTTTATACGTGAATCAAAAGAACCTATCATGAAAACTTTTATTGATATGTTTAACGTTTGGAGATCACAATTTCTTGTCAATAATGATACCAAAATCTTCATCTATCAAAAAGAAGAAAGAAAAGAAAGAAAGTAAATCATCTAACAATTATATAGATTATAACTAAAATAACATTGAATTTCTTAATAATATTACTTTTGAAATGTATGTGTATGTATGTACAATTGAAAATATTATGCCGGTGGAAAAAAATTTGCAAAAAGTACAATTCCACTTCCACCATATAAAATAAAATAAACCAACATTCCATATCCTAATAACTTATCCCATCTGTTTGCGTCTTTGGATAGTGATTTAAGAAATAAATTGGTGACAAACCAATAAACTATAGGTTGTGAGGAGAAAAACCTCGTAATTACTTGTACATGCATAACTGTGATTGAGTATACTAATAAGACTGCCCATAAATAAATGAATGGTAATAATTCATGCGTTCTGTAATAAGGTGACGATGAAGACTCTAAAGTAGTCTCGGATCGTCGTTGTAATCCCAGTGTTAATATCCTTTTGAGATCAAATTTAGAATAACTATATATTCCATAGAATGATAAAAATATCATTGGGGACGCTAACAAAAAATTTGGAATTTGTTTAACTTCATAATATTTTAAAAATCCACCATTCCTACAAAAGAATTTTCATATTTTATTAAAACATTTTTCTTTTAAAAAAAAAAAATCTCTCAACATAACAACTTACCAATAAAAGGATTGAACAAAGGAATATAACAATGGTATTGTATCATTACACCATGGTCTTCGTGGTAAATATAAAATGCAATAGTGATAATACCCATAACTTTGAAACATTAAAAATCCAAGGAGAACTATAATACTCAAAATTATAGTCTTTAGCAACCTTATAAATATAACCTGAAAATGATCAAAACTAATTTAGTTTGTTAACCTTCCATTTTGCCTAAAATCATCAATGTCCTTATACTTACCTTTCCGTTAATCCTGTTTATATCTTTAATTAAGAATTTGTACACGAAGAATCCAACTTGAGTGATTCCATTCGATCTTGTGAATGAAGATAAACTCCAAATAAAAGCAGCACTCCATGATTTTCCCTCATAAAACAACCTCATACCAAAGAAATTTAAGAGTGCAAATAAACTTTCAGTGTACATTGCCGACATAAACATGCCAGATGGTGTCAATATGTAAAACATTGATGTTACTAATGCATATTGTTCATTATTATTAAATATTAAAAGACTTAATCTATCAAAATAAAATGACAATTAGTAAATACTAAAATTTCATATAATTAAATTAAATTGATTTAACTCACTTGTATAAATTAATTGATGCCAAAATAAAAGAAATGTTAACTATTAAAACTCCCGATAAGAGTAATATCTGCTTATATGTTAAAAAATATCCCAAAGGTAAAAATACTATGATCAAATATCAAAAGAGAATTAGTCTGGGACTCCGTTAAAAAATAAATAAATCAATCCTGATCTTTTTTTTGACTTACCTGAATTACTTAAACCTCTAGCTAAAAGTGGTAATAATGGAAAGAATGCGTGTTCCTGTTCATAAATGTATCCCTCTTCACTCAGATGTATAAAGTAAAAAGAATCCCATCTTAAAAATGCTCTAAAACTAACATTAAATATTTTTTGTACTATTGATAACTCTTGACCTTCTAATATCGTATCTACTGATGAATCATAATCATCTACTATAAGAGTTGATATTAATGCTATTATCCACGTTAAAAGTCGTGAAATTATTGAAAATTTTAGTATTAAATAAATATGTTTATTATTGTATCTGTCATAAGTAAAAGATTTGACCGTTTGAGAGTTTTGTGGGTCCATGTTAAAAAGAATTTAAGACCGTGTTTTAAATTAAACCGAAAAGTGGGTTGAACAGTGTTTAAGCAATGGTATCAATCACGTGATTATAATTAAAAATTACATCACGTGATAGATCAATCGGTCTCTCGGGTAAATCATTCGATAGCATATTACGATATCACTGAGCAACTAATAATAATTTATTTATTATTCCAATCCTTACTTCCCACTCATTAATTAAATCTGTATGTAATCGCTGCTTGAATATTTTTGGAAACAATCAATAATTTTCATATGAATATTTATTATATTTATTTGATTGGAACCCAAGTTTGTAACATTGCATTTAAAATTAACTGTATTTGTACTAACATTCTTAACATTATAAGACCCGGCAAATAAAAATTTTGATTCTTTTAAATGAATTGGTTTTTTTTTTTTTTTTTTTTTTTTTTTTTTTTTTAATAAATACATAAACGAGAAAATTTTATTATCTATATATATAATTTAATTTAAATTTTAAATCTAATTTTTACTTCGTGCATCAATAATACAACACCAACAAATTGGAAATTTTAGGCTATCGACGCCTCACGTATTTTTTTTTATCATTTGGAAGCGTATTCAAAGCCTCTCGAGCAGCATTTCTAGTGATTCTCCTCGTTGGCTTTTGATAGCGCCTTCTATCATTAATCGGACGAGCTCTTCGAGGAGCAACTTCTTCTTCATCTTTGGTCTCTCCTCTCTCCTTTTGCCTCCTTTCCCTCTTTGCTCTCCTTATACTATAGGAAGATGACGAAAGTTCACCCTTGTGTTCTCGGCGTCTTTTCTTCCTATTTTTTATACTTGAAACTTTTTCAGGTGTATCATTCATCAGTTCGTCAGTATCTTCTTCAATATCATCAACTTCATCAACTTCATCAACTGCATCAACTGTCATATGCGTTGGCGGATGCTCACTCTCCGATTCAGATTCTGATGATGGCATTGTTAAAAAAGTAGTTTTTGATTTTGATCTTGACTTTAATTTTGATACCGAAGAGGATACTTTTGTATTAAATTTTTTAGATGAAGGTTTACGAGCAGATTTCGAAGAGGAACCTTGTGATTGCTCCGTTAAATCATGTATTATATCGTCTTTTTCAGTACATAAAGTTACACCAGTTACATCAACACGTTCATTTTGTTTGACACTTTTAATAAATGTACCATCAGCGGGTTCCTTTGGTTTGTCACTTGAAACTTTGACGTTCGTTTGCATCGACGGAATTATAGACCGATTCCATGACACATTCAACCCAGGTTGTAGTGGAGGTATGACTTGATCAGACTTTGAAAAAGGAAGCTCTGATGAAACTTTCGCAGGCTTTGAGTAATCAGGATATGATACCGTTGGTACTAGCGGGGGCAACGTTATAGATCCCCTTTGTAAATTTTGCTCTGTAGGCTTCATCGACATCGACGTCAACGTCGATGATGATGTGAACATTCTTCCCGAAGATTCGGTTGATGACTTGGAAAATGATGACTGTGGTAATCGTGTAGCGGTTCCTACTTGTGATTGTAAAGATGATTTGGATGGTAATGACGTTGTTGTTCGTGGTATTTTCGTCCACACAGTTGACAGGTTTTCATTCGTTTTGTTCGTTGCGTAATGCGAAGGAACAGTATCCCTACTATCCCTTATCTGTGAAAGTTGCATATTTTCAAAAAGTTCTTGTCTCGCTTTCATACTAATTGGATACGTTGCGATTGGCCGATACAGGGGAGGGCCATCCTCAAAGACCCCCAATTCCTGTATGGTTGGTAACCGCATACTTCCATTCTCATAATTATCTGAGCCCTGAACAAATGATTCTGGTTGTTGTTGATGTTCCTTTTCTAGAAGAAAGAATTAAAAGATAATGAAACTTACAGTTAGACAGACAAGTAACGAAAGGTAACGAATGCTTCGATGATGGAGGATTATCCTCATACGCACCCAATTCCTGCATTGCTGGCACGTGATCATTATCTTTATTCTCCTCATTATTTTCAGAGTCTTGAACGAGATTTTCTGGTTGCGGTTGCCGATCATTTACTAGAAGAATAACGAACACAACGGTTAGAGACTTGAGTGACCAAAGATGCCGCTTTTTTAAAGTTAAGTAAAATAGAAAAGAATCTTTATAATGTTCTCACCTAGTTGTTCTGTGACTTTCGTAGCTTGTTGTTCCGTGGTAGCTCGTTGTTCCGAGTCTTTCATAGCTTGTTGTGCTGGGACTTTCATATTCCACCTCTCTCTATTATTGATGATACTTTGAGGGGGTTTCGGCTGTATTTTTCTAAGTTTATTGTGTCTCCGTGTTACAGACACTTTATCTATAGAGTCCTTTGAATCTCTTAAGTTAAGTAATAGGTCATTATTTGCTTGTATTTTGTCAGTATTTTGCCCTTCGCCTTCTCTTAGACAAGCCATCAAGCTAGCAAGTTCTAATTCTTCTGGTAATTTGCCCTTTGCAAGCTTCTGTATTTCAGACTCTACTTCAGTATTTTCAATATTTCCTGAAGATCCTGAATTAGAAGAAACTTTATCTATGCTAAAAGGAAGTCCAGAATCAACGGTACTATAAGAAACTTCATTGGGGTTAGACAAATTTCCATTGTGACTACTAGAAGAAATTCTGGTGAGTTCAGGAGTAACCGTGGCGATCTCAGAAGAAATTCCGGCGGGGCCAAAAGAAATTCCAGAGGGATCAAAAGAAATTCCAGTGGGTTTATTAGAAGAAGAACCACTGGGGCTGGAAGAAGTTCCGGTGGGGTAAATAGTAGGATTATAAAAATTTCCCGAGGTATCGTAAGGCATTCCGGCGGGTTTATAAGGCATTGCAACGGGCGTCATTGCGACAGATTTAAAAGCGATGGGTTTAGAAGATAAAGGTATATATGAAATGATAGGTCTAGAATAGGATTTTGTTCTGGACTTTGAAGAATATTTCGAGGAGCCAGAAGCTTTCGTGGGTCTAAAAGAAGTTGATGAAGATTTGGGAGGATTAGAGGAAACCTTAACAGGGTCGGTGGAAATTTTAAAGGGGATTGGGGAAATTTCAACGGGATTAGAGGAGACTGCAACGGGATTAGATGATCCCTCAACGGGATTAGAGGTGCCTTTGACGGTGTTAGAGAAAACTTCAACAGCGGGCTCCGAGGAAACTTCAACAGGGTTAGAGGAAACTTTAACGGTGATAGAGGGAACTTCAACAGGGTTAGAAGAAACATCATCGGGTAGCAAGGAAACCTCAACTGGGATATCAGGTATTTCAGGTATTGAGGAAACTTTGACCGGGATAATGGCATCATCAGGTATAGTGAAAACTTCAGGTACAACGGAAACTTCAACCGTGTCAAAAGAACTATCGGAGGGACTAGAAGAACCCTTCATGGTGCTACAAGAAGAATCCGAACTATCTGATATAACAATAATATTTATGGGTTCATTTGGAACGTCCGCGGAATCAGAAGAGTCCTCATCGGGGTTGGAAGGAACTTCAATGGGATTGGAAGAGTCGACGTTGTGAATAGGAGACGTTGACGTGGTAGTATTCGAAAGGCCAGCATCGGAAGAAACCGTAACATCGGAATCATTTTGGGGTTCGACGATAGGGGATAATTCCGTACTGAAGAAAAAATAAGCATTAGGTAAGTATTCGTTATTTGAATGAAAGTTCCACATTAGAATGAGAATATGAAGAAAACCTAGTGTCAGGCGTCACGTCATAAAGTCGTAGCTGTTCTTTTAATTGAGGGTCTTTAATGGCACTATAATATACGGTTTCCATACGGCTAGAACGACTTCTTATTACTTCTTGTCCGGGAGGTGGACCTCTCTTTTTACCTGGCTTACCAGGTTCACACGGTCGCTCAACCTTTAGACAATACGTACAAGGAATTTCACCTGAACACTTAATCTTTCGTCTTTGGCAATTTTGGCATGCCGTTGTTACCTTAAGACGAGAGTTACCATTGTTCTTTTTAGTCATATTAAAAAGAGCTTTATGTATATATATATGTATTGGAAAGAGTAAGTGTATAAAAAAAAAAGGTTCACCGTATAAATTATTTTTCAAGAAAAAAAGGGGGGTTTAAAGTTTGAAGAAACCTCCTAACAAAAAGTGCGAGCCAAATAGTGATAAAGCACCGTTTCAAAAAAAAAAAAGAAAAAAAAAAATATTCAAAGGAGACTTCCAAAAGAAAACAAATTTTAAATTTTTTTTTTTTTCCTTTTTCGTAAAAAAAAAAAAAAAAAAAAAGATAACCAAACACTTCTCTAACAAGGTATCTTTTTAAAACTATTTTGAAGGTAACACAGCAAGACTTTTGGGAGTGAGAGTTTTATATATAGAGAAATTTTTTAAGTTTAAGAGAAAGGGTTGGAAAGAAAAAAGATCATTAAGAGCGGAAAAATCTCGGACTTGCTCGGAAAAACCTTGCTATACCCAATATCAATAGTATATATAGTTCAATCTTGGTTTAGTGAGTCAATACGCCTTACATCCTTGCACTACACTCAAACAGGAAATCCGATTAGCGAATTAGGAGATACGAGCCATACACAACATCATTTATTGCAGATTATTTTGGTTGTATGACCAAACTTTTGATAACAACGAACGACCAAAATTTCGTTCGAATCGGAAGGGTCGGCAGGCCTCTCTTTTTTTTTTTTATTTATTTTTTTTTTCTATCTGAACAAATTTTTTTTTTTTCAGGTTTTATCTGACACTGAAATAACATCTATTGGCTCAAAAAAAAATTTTTTTTTCTTGGAGGATTTTTTTTAAAGTTTGGCTCATGCATGTGTAGTAATAGTCATCATCATCATCATCATTACAAAAAGATTTATAAGAAAAAAAAATCGTTTAATTGTGTGACGAAATGGAAAGGTTTCATTGAACGAGAGAAATTTTTTTTAATTTATTCACACAATATAGTTAATTATTATTATACATATAGGCCCGTGACCATTTTGTCAAGAATTTTGGCTTTCTTTCTTTCAAGGTTTTGATGGTTTAATCGTCGCAGGAATAATAAAATATGGGATTCTATTATGAAAAAAAAAGTACAATCTTTTCGAACTAGATTTGAATCCAGAATGTTGTTAGCATTCTTGTAAATTTCTCATGATAATTCGTCAATTTTATAATCATTATTATTCTTCATGAACTATCAAGCGAGATGATGTGAAAATTGGGAGTTGTACTTTAAAAAGTTTTACCAAAGGAGGGATTTATGTTACACGAAACTATAAAATAACTCTGAATGGAATGTTTGAATAAGGAGTCAATTGTTCCTTCCTTTTTATAAAAAAAAATGTATGCTATATAAAATGGTGTGAAAGAAAAAATTCAGTCAAAGGACGATAAAAATCATCAATCCTAATGCTATTCGATATCTCAATTACTTGACACAACGCAGAAATACGCCTTTTTTGTCAAATAACATTCGCATTTGGATTGTTTACCATGATATACTTTCGAATTTACTAATATTATTGAAGATCAATCGTCATATGTATCATGTATCTCTTAAATATTGATTACATTATCTAAGATGCATCCAACCACCTCACCAATAATGAGAACTTAATTATATGGTTTGTTTTTGATCCATTGAAATAACGAGACCAAAAATCGCCTAAAGAGCTGATTCATAAGTTTCACTTTTTTTTATTTATTTATTTTTTTTTTTTCTCCTTTGAATCAAATTTTATTTTCATTTTTTTTTTTTTCAATGTTCTTTGACTCTCAAAGAACATGTCCTGTGATTCCATCCCTTTGAAATTCTCATTTATTTGTAAAATAGACAATCATTTTTAATTTACCTTCTTTTGTGCATCTTAACTATATAAATTCATAAATAACCCAAAATTTGTGCAATCATGATTACATATTGTAGTAAACAATAATTAAAAAAGCTTTGTTTATCAAAATAAAAACAAACGCGGTGTACCATGTAAAATCTATTAATCACAGTTATTATCGCAGAATAACAATCTCTGAGAACTAGTATGGGAAAATGGGTTAAAAATAAAATTGGATATATTATCAAACAGGAGTTACAATAATTAAATAGTTAAATTATTTATTTATTTTTTTTCGAGAAAAACCTTTTTTGGGCGCTATAGTCCCGACAGTTTCACCGCTTGGAAATGAGTCCTTTCTTTTTTATGACCATTATAGACTAATTAATTTGTCATTTTCCAAAGGAGATCCGCAGAGACAACGTATAAACATTCCCAGTAATTATTATCATACGAGTTATTGGCCAATGAAAAAGTACCTTTGATAGAAAGATTTTTGGATTCCATGTTTATTTCATTACTTATTCACATGTTTCTCGATACATAAAGGTTACACGATTACACGATGCTTTCAATTTCCTAAATTAATAAAACCTTTGTCAAATTTTAACCATTAAGGTAATTGTTAACGTTTCTAAAGACACGTCAGGTAATTTTTTTTTTTTTGATAACTTACGTTGTTCCTTGTTCCTGAATAAAGAAAGGGGGGGATACTTCTCAAAAAACGATGTAATTTTATGTTTAGTAAACATGATGTACATATACACGTACATGGTATACATGGTACAACACTCGAAATAGAATTTTTATAAACTGTCATTATATCTTTGTTTAGCATTAATAATGCATTTATTTATTTTTGTGTAACAAATATAATGCAACATCGTAAAAATTATTATCCGCGCATCATTTATCATAATAGAATTTGTTCCTGACGTAATTCCGATTTATTAAAGGGAAGTTTCGTACATAAATCCCACTATACATGATTTCCAAAGCACAATTGGGCAATCCTGCAAGAATTATTAAAATTAATAATCCGAAGCAGGAAAGCTAAATAATGTTATTTAAATATGTCATCATTTCATTATTTTCGAATGTAACAACTAAAATGAAAGTCTTAGCAAGGGATTTCCGTTTTAAAATTCAAATTGTGTTCTAATATTCGATACCGAATATATACTTGTGTACATTAATGAGATCCAAGTCCTTGGTTAAGTTCCTTTCGTCCTTTTTTTATTTCATTATAGATTTATTTATTTATTTTTTTACCTTCGATGTTTTTAATTTTAGCATATCTAGACCGGGTAGGCCTGCAGTAAATATAGATACCTTGATTCTTTTGTTTAGTCTACGTGATATAAATTTTTAAGATCGTTGATTGAAAAAAAGATAAAAGATATTATTTACATCTATATCTACTTTTGCAAACGGTAATGAAATATTTGAAAAAAAAAAAAAAAATTTAAAAATTTTTAAAAAAGATGATGATCTAAAAATGGATTTTTTGACCATTCAAAAAAAAAAAAGATTATGATTTTGTCAAAAATAAATGCTATTTTCATTTATGACTCAATGAAAATTTAAGACACTAGGACAAATAATACCTCTGACGAAAAAAAATAATAAAAAGTGTCCATAGCGAGTTGTGTTTTGATCAAACTGATAATCAAATGGCGCATTAGTAGCAAGTTTATGAACTGGTTCACATCACGTGTAAGCGTGCATTTAGGTTTTTAAAAAAAGTTGGTTTCTTAGTTTAATCTATTAAACAAAAATAAAATCATATTAATAATTACCATATGTGTCGGTTGAACAACCCTTCTATTTCCTTGCTTTTTATCTGCGGGTAATATCGGAACATCTTTTCCATTGGATACTTTAATTTATTATAATGAACACACACCTAAATTTGGCAGTTATTGTCCCTTTTGATACCTCTTTTTTACTTTTATACCCTCCACTCTTGCCGAATTATGAAAAAGGAATATTCTTTTAAAGACAACTGTTCTTGGATTCATTCATCCCATTCAAGAGAAGGTAAATGGCTGAGGTTAGGTGATGCACTAAGTTTGTGTCACAAACAAAAAACTTTCAAACTTTTCCATTTTTATTATGAATTGAGATGAAAAAAAAAATAAATTTGTCAAAAATACACACAATATATATATTTTTATTTACAAATATTTACATGCAAAATGAATTTATTAAAAAAAAATGTCGCATTGTCTGATTTTATTTTTTTGTTTAGACAAACAATGGGAATTTCATTTCAATTGACGACAATATAATAATAAATAAAAATTAGGTTTTATTTTTTTTTTAAAAAAAAATAAAATAAAAAGACTTTTTTTTTTTAGAAAAAAAATTGATATCTAACTTCTTCGCATATTAAGAGTAGATCTCAAACATGTTAACTTCGGCTCATTCGGCACTTTTAAATATAGATTTACTATACATAATATTTTCAAATTTTGAATATCAGGATGATTTATTTAATGGTTTGCTTGTACATTCTTATTGGGCTTTGGTAACTTGTCAATTATAATTTTATAATCATTCAAAAAGATTTTTAAACATTCTTGTGCGAATTCTCTTTTTCTTTTTCTCTTGCAATATTTTTTCTTTTTTTTTTTGCAATTTTCACAAATTGCTAAATCTCTACTGTATCATATCTAGGCTATCATTGACAAATTATGGAAAAAACCGACTTGGAAATCTTATAATGTCTTCCAAAAGTTTATAAGAACACTTCGGAATTCTTCCACAACTTCATTTAATTATGGTCACTTTGTACAACAAATAACATTCGCTTCATATTCATCATATTACCCAGAAATTTCAATACCAATATCCGATGTAAAAATTCTTTCTGAAAAATGTAAAAACATAAAGCATCTTACTTTTAATCGCGTTTACTCTGCCGAAACGATAGCAATGTTCTTGGAAAATTGTCCGGGATTAATCACATTTGCAATATCCGGTCATAAACTTCCTTCTTTAAGTGATGCGTTACGACCAATTAGAGACGGAAAGTGTTCAAACCTTCAGCATTTAGAGTTATCAAACTGGAGATCTGAATGGAAACATGATATCTTAAGAGATGTAGGGAATAGATGTCCTTTACTTACAACTTTAATAACCACTTGTTTAGTAACAAACACTTTAGCCACCACTATA